GTCACCTCGGCCTCCCTTGAGGCTGGCTTGCAGGGGATCCTTGGCAACAGAGGGGATTTGGGGCTGACAGTCACCTCCCCCATGATCTTCCCCTCTCACTGCCCTTCCTGACCCCTGACTCCTTGTTTGTAACATGGAGGGAAGAGGATTGGACCAGACCAGTAGTGTCTTGCTGGTTTTCTTTTGCTGTAACAAGACGCTTGAGAGCGGGGAATTCCTAAAGAATGGAGATTCATTCTGCTCCTGGCTCTGGAGGCTGGGGGTCCACGCGCCTGACACTGGCATCTGCTGGGCATCCGGCAAGGCTTCTCACTGCAGAGGAGGCAGGGCCAGCTGCCAGCTCAGGTCTCTCTGATGTTGTCATGGACCCCGTCCTACTGGCTGCAGGACAAGAGCCTTCAGAGCAGACACTGAAGCCACAGCAGGGGGATTCCAGCCTGCCTGCCCCAGGGGCTTCGGGTTTGGGAGACAAGGTACCCAGATTTCGGGGACTGGTCGTCCCTGGCTGAGGGAGATGGCAGCTCCGTCCCTCTGTGCCGCTGCTCTAGGCCCCTGGCACCTTGGGCTGGGGCTGGGCCTCGGTGTGCCACGTCTCAAGCCCACGTTTCTCACTCATCTCAGACACCGCAAGGCCTGGTGGTTCTTCCTCTGGGTGCTCTGGACCCGACCCTCCCCTCACTCCCTCAGCCCCTGTCCCAGCTGCCCCAGCCTGGGCGCCTAACCCAGCCACAGCCCGGTGTCCCTGCCCCCTCCCACCCACGAGGCCACTCGGCTACCAAGTGAACGTCGAGAGCAGAGGAGCCCCGGGACTGCCCAGCTTGGAAGTGACGCATGGCTTCCATCACACTGGAGGTCCATGTGGCCCCGCAGCGCACCTCATGGGACCCTGGCCCTGGGCAGCTTTCCACAGCCTGGATCTCACCCAGGCTGGCACCTCTGTCCACTCTGCCCCTCTGCTCCCCAGCCTCTGCCCTCTCATTCCTGCCCCCGGACCTCTGCCCCGGAGAGGCCAGGTTCCAGCTGATGTCACCTCCCCAGAGCAACGGTCCCTGCCCTCCCCATTTGTCATGGCTGTGTTTAGATGTCCCCCAAAGTGCCCTGCAGTCACAGGTGGGGCTTTTTCAGAGGTGACTGGATCCAGAGTGTGTGACCTGAGATTGATTCAGGGTGCAGTGCTAGGCTCAAGGGCTTAAGGGTGTGAGTGCTGCCTGTCCTAAGTAGCCTGGATAAAATAAAAGGGGCAGAAAGATGCTGTTAACGTCCCTTGTTGCTTTTCCTGCCTTTGCCTGCAATGAACTATTTCTCCTCTCTGATGCCCTCTGACACGTGCCACTCTGCCTTTTGCCAGCCAACTATGGGCTGAAATCTCTACAAACTGTGAGCTAGATAAACCCATCCTTAACTTTGGGTGTCAGGTATTTTGTCTTAGCAATGATAGAAGAGTAACTAAGACACCGTTCTACACTATTGCTTCCCGCTCTTTTCTCTTTGATGGATGTACTGCAATCTCCACCTCCTGGATTGAAATGCATTGCTTGGGCATTGTATTACTGTAACACTAGGTTCCTTTTCAAACATTATTGGTGGCATTATTTCCTTGTAGATGGCTGTGTGCCCTGCCTGTGAGGTGGGCAGTGCCCTTGTCTGTGAGGTCCACTCGCGTCCCAGTGACCAGCACAGTGGCTGGGACACAGCAGGCCTTCCGTGCAGTGGAGACCAGTGCTTTCTTTGGCCTGCAACAGGTCTGCAGGGGGCAGCCCACCCCAGGCACAAGTCCATCCTCAGAGACCAGGCCAAAGACACAGGGTCATCTAGGCTCTCTCTGCCACGGGTGCCAGCGTCCTTTCCTGCTGTCTTTCGGAATGTCACTTGTGAGACTGGTTTGGGAGTGTGTGGCTTTCCCTTTCTTGTGCACCACCCACTGCTGTCCTACATAAGTGTTGTGGCCAACACGGCCCCTCCCAGGTGGGAACCTGGCCCTGGTGCCCCTGGTGCCATGCTGGGCCCCATGGAGCTTTGGCGAGGAACATGGGCCCTGGAGTTGCCCACTGCAAGGGGCCTGGTGGCCATAGGCAGAGCCGGCTGCTTCCTAGGGCTTTTGGGCCAGCAGAGGACTCAAAAGAAAGGTGGCATCAGCACTGAGGAATTTCGGGGCCTCCTGGAGGCAGCCTGGGTGCTGGGGCTGGGACGGGCCCAGGAAGCACCTAGCCCTGTCTCGGCTCACACTCCTGGGCCCCTGGAGGTGTTAGAGGCTCTTCTGGCTCTGGAAGGGAAACTGTGGCTCAGAGCAGTTGTGGTTTTGCCTGGAGGAATCAGAGCTGGAGCCCAGGAGGTGGAGGGCCACCGGGGTCTTTCCCATGGGCCCCAGGAGGGACAGGAAGTGCTGTGGTTTGCAGCCCCCATGGCTTGTTAGTCATCGGCATATTTTCACCCAGAAAGAATCCACATCCAGGGCCCCAACCAGGGTCCAGCTCAGCCCAGAGCAGCCGCCCGGGGAGGGAGGCGTGTTGGAGGCCAGCGTGCTTTACTAGGCAGGGGTCCGGGTGGGGTGAGGCTGCTGTTCCTTTCCCACGCTCCATCCGGGTCATGGGATCCTGGGTGCCTCGCGTGATCCTGCTTACTCACGGGGACTCTGAGGACCAGAGCTGTGCAGTAACTTTCCCGAAGTCACACAGCCAGTGCATGGCAGAGGGGCACTTGAAGGTCCCCTCTGGGACTCTGAGCTCTCTGACACTTCCTGTTTGTTCCAAAGTGAGGCCCAACCCTAGATCGCGGCAGGCACAGGTTTCAGAGTGACACGGCCAGGAGGGCCACCTTCCTGGGAGGCTGCGGGAGCTCCAGACTGGGAAGGCCTGGGGTGCAGGGAGCCCAGGGAGCGGGGCCGTTGCCAGCCGTGGCACAGTGTGCACACACTGGTGTCTAGTGCGCGTCCGCCCTGGCCAAGGCCCCGGGCTGCTTGTGGGCTTGGACACTTCTCCATGTCCTGGGGGCTCTGGGGCAGCAGGAGCCTGGGACAGGCGCTGAGGGCAGGCAGGGGTGCGGTGTGGGAGGCCCTGTCTGGCCTCTTGGTTAGGGAAGAGCAGGTGTGCTCTGCCCGCGGCTCTCTGCATAGCTGAGTGCCCTGTCCAGGTCCCTCGGGCCCTCTGTGCATCAGCCAGAACCAGAGCCCTACTGTGGGGCCCAGGCAGAGCATGGCCTCTTTGGGCCGGACCTGGAGAAAGGACCTGGGTGTGGGCCCTGCCCCATGCTGAGCTTCGGTGGAGGTAGGGCTGGGCAGGCGCCAAGTGGGCATAGGAGGGGACAGTGGGGAGAGGTGGGGGTGCCCGCCCGCCATGCAGGGAGCATGTGGGGTCCTGCCTGTGACCGCTGGTCGTGGGGGTGGGAGGGACAGGTTGGGATGCTGTGGAGAGGGAGCGGGAGAGCCCCCCATCTGCTTCGAGGGGTCCCCAGCTCGCCAGACCCCGTGCAGCTGCCAGCTGCGGTCCTCAGGACAGGCTGGGAGGACACCCTTGCTTGGCAGTGTCTCCAGGCAGCTGCTGGCACCACACAGCTCTGGTTGCTGTCCCCTCCCTCGGGAGGGATGAGGGCCCTGCAGTGTTGTGTGCCCGAGGGTCCTGCTGTGGCTCCACAGCCCCAGAAACAGTGTCGCAGCCCGTGGCCTCTGCCTGCCGAGGGGCTGGGGGCCAGGGTGGAAGGTGACGTCACAGGAGGCCCAGAGTATATCACAGCCCGGCAAGTCACAGTCCCTGTGCCAGTCCAGCTCTGCCCCGGAGAAGGGACACAGCAGGGCCCATCGGGCCAGAATCTCCACCCTTCCCAAGCTCAAGCCCCACAGGGCGGGCGGAGAGGGAGCAGAGAACCCTGAGAAGTAGTCAGCCGTGTGCGGAGCTGGAGAGGACCGCGGGCATAGCGTGGCACGGCAGAGTGGGAGGGAGGGCAGGGGTGGCCAGAAGCCACCTCCCCGAGGGGCCAGTGGGGCCAAGCTGTGGAGGGAGGGCCGAGAGGAGAACCCGAGCAAAGGCCCTGGGGTCGGGAGAGGAGGGCACAGGGAGAGGCCCGGGCAAATAAGGCCAATGTTGCCCAGCTGAGTGAGGGCGCCCTTTAGGTTCTGTCATGAACGCGAGCTCCGTGGGCATGTGGGGCCCCATCTGACCAGGGGGGCTAAGAGAGCAGCTGGTGCCCGGCCTGGGGTAGAGGGAAGGGGCCGGGGAGACCCCACCCTCACTGCCCTGTGTGGGGAGCGGTGGGCTCAGGGCCACGGTCACCGTGCCCTCTGCCTTGCCCTCCCGGCCTCTGTCAGGCTGCCCTGTGTCTGCCCTGTGTGCCTGGTGATGTCGGGCCGAGCAGGCTGTGACCTGTCACACACGACAGTCAGCAAGTGTCCCCAGGAGCAGCTGGGCCTCGGCTCCCTTTGTCCCAGAGCATCAGGTGGGGGCCGAGAGCCTGCAGGGCCGTGGCTGCGGGTCTCACGTTCTCCATCTGACGTGGGCCCCTCCAGGGGGCACACCTGGGCCTTCCTGACATGCGAGGTGGGCAGTGCGGTCAGTACCCCTTGTCCCATCTGGACAGCAGTGGCCAGCGTGGCGGGGTCCAGAGATGCGGCTGAGGGTGCCTGTGTCTGAGGCACTGGAGCACAGGTGTGGCCCCGGCAGTGGGCACCCACTCATGTTGCTGCCAGTGGGCCGGGCACCCCTCGTGGGAGAGGAGGGCTCACCTGGAAGGGCCTTGCCGCCAGGCTGCACAGAAATGGCAGCCTGCACACCAGGACGCCGTGGGCCCTTACAGGCTTAAGTGCCTACACATGCAGGCCCTGAGGGCTGAGGACACGCAGGCAGCGGGCCCATGGGTGTCCCTGAAGGCTGGGGGTGGGTGAGGGGAAACCTGTCGGCGCCAAGCAGGCCCTGAGGAGGCTCCTCTTGGCAGGACACTCGGGATGCTGGGAAGAGGGCACTGAGCCGGGGCGGCACTGCCTCCCACAAGAACACAATCAGCAGCACCACTTGGCGCACGCCTGCGGTTTATACTCGCTCACACAGCCACACTCCCTGGGGACCCTCGGCTCCCTGAGGTGGGTGTTGCCGGTGCCAGCAGGCCAGCGGGTGCTGGTCTCCAGGGGAAGGAGCCGGGGGTGTCCTTTGGATCGTCTCAACGTCTCCCTCTATGCAGAACGTGTGGCCGCCCCATTCTACAGGTGAGAAACTGAGGCTCTGCGTAGGGAAGGACCTGCTCGCCATGGCACGACGGCCCCAAGCACCTCACGCCCTCAGCAGCCACCCCAGACCCCTGCGGCGGCTCCCAGGGCTCTGCCCACCACCCCACCCTAGGACATCCAGGCCAGTGCAGGGTCCCTCTGGTGGGCTGAGACATTGAAAGTACCCCTTGGGGAGCCAGAACAAAGCCCCAGACTCCTCCTCAGAGAAGTCCAAAGGCCCCCACCCCTGGCCTGAACCCTTGGGAGCCACCCCAGCCACCCCAGGCTGAGCGAGCAGCAGAGGCTGTGATGGGATCCAGCCCTGACCCCGAGCTGACCATCAGTGGCCCTAGCCCTTCTCCCGATCCTGCCTCGGCTTGTAGCCGGGCTGTCTGTCTAGCCGGGGGAGGAGGGGCACTGAGGCCACTGCCAGGCTCCTGGGTCTGTCAGCGGCATCGTAGCATGGAGAGCAGTCTTGGCCGGGGTGGGGTGGTACACTTCCGCCGCTCCACTCTGCTGGTGACGTTTGCGAGGGCAAAGCCCCTGGGGGAGGTGTTGACACGGAGCCCTGCAGGACCAGAAGTGCCTGGCCTCGGTGGTCAGCTCTGCTCCCCTAGCCTGCTCTGCAGAACCTGAGTTTCTCATCTGTGAGACGGGATGGGACGGCACCCAGCTCCTAGGGTCCCTGCGGGATATGGGAGCCTCGAGGCACTGGGGCTGGCAGCCTTGTGGGGTCACGCGTGCAGCCTGGCGTGGAAGTGCCTCTCCCTCCACAGCTGCCGCTGGCAGTGCTCCACCGCGTTGCACAGCTCAGCGGCCTCCCGGCTGCGGCACCAGAAGCTGGGGCCCAGCACGCACTGGTCGGTGCCCAGCAGTGGGGTCTTGGGGGCGTGGCAGGCTCCCATCTTCTTGCACACAGCCAGGGGGTCGATCATCTCCTTGACGCTCTGGATGAACACGGGCTCGTACTGCGTGACGAAGTGGTTGCACTGGATCCTGTAGGGCAGCGGCAGGATGCTGCAGCCGCCCTTGAAGGCCATCAGGATGTCGCGCTTGGTGCTCTTGAGCTCCAGGTTCTCGGAAGACAGGTAGAACAGGCGCTTGCAGCTGCTGCAGAAGCTGCCCTGGTTCTCCTCGTCCAGCAGCACCGGTGGCGGTGGGGGCGCAGTGTTCACCAGGGGCCCCCTGGAGATGGACCGGGCGCGCCGATGGCGGCTGCACAGCCGGATGGTCTGGCACACTTTCTCCGGAGTGATTTTGGTTACCAGCTCCACCAAAGCGGGGCTGTAGGTGTCCACCATGGTGATGCACTGCTGCACGATGGAAGGCGGCATGATGGCGCACACACGCTCCAGGGAGTGGCTGATGAAGACCTCCGTGCCGTTGGACAAGAGCCACTGGTCCATCTCCTTGATCACGCCCAGGCACACCTCACAGGTCAGGCCAGACTTCATCTGCACCTCGCTCGTCATCTTCGGCAGCTCCAGTTCGAGGGAGGGGACCCTGTCCACAGCAGCCACTTGTACTGGCAGCTGTGCCGGCCCCCTGAGCTCCTCACAGAAGCCCCCTTTCCCGCAGACCTCCCACGGTGGGAGCACCCTCAGGGTCTGCTCTGCGGGGACAAACAGCTGGCGGATGTAGTTCTTGCAGAGCAGAGCCAGGCTGGGCTCCAAAGACCCGCACTGCTCCCGGGTGTTCACCTCGGCCAGGGTCAGGTCGGCACCTTGGAGCCGGGAGATCAGCTGGACGCAGCTCTGGCACAGCGCATCCTCGGGTGCCGGCACCGGGCCCGGGGGGTGGAAAGTGAGGGCTCTGTTGGCCAGGAGTGGAGTCACAACCTCCAGGGCGTCCTCCTGAGTGAGCAGGCCCCCTGGGGCAGCCAGGAGCCTCTGCTGCGGCTCACACAGGGTGAGCGCGGAGCACACCTGTGCTGGGGCGCTGCCCGGGGCTCTGAGGAGCATGTGCAGGAGGGCTGGGCTGTGGGCAGCCACCATCTGCCTGCACCTGGCTGAAGACTCCCGGCTGGAAAGCCACTCGCAGGTCTTCGTCAGTGACGTCAGGATCCCAGCCTCCGTGGCATCTGGGTTCAGCCCACTGTCAGCTGCGGCCACCGTGTCCTGGCACACTTCACAGTGCAGGGACTGGGCGGTGGGCTTGCTCCAGATGGCCTCTCGGCAGTGCTGCACGGCCCCACACTTCACGGCTGCCTGCAGGTCCTGGCACCACACCTCAGAGCCCCTGGCACAGTCTGGGGGGCCCAAGGTGCCCAGGATGGGGCCTCCTGTGGCAGCCCCCAGGAGGCTGGGCAAGAGAAGCAGCTCGAGCAGCATGCCGCCCAGTGACTTGCCGTTCCAGTGCCCCGACTGCCCGGCTGCTGCTATAAACCCAGCTCTCTGCCAGGCCCCGAGCAGGTGTGGCCTGGTGCTCCGCCTCCTGGCCACTCCTACAACCCTTCTCATACCTGCGCCCTGGTGCCCACACCAGTCTCTGCCCACAGTGCCAGCACCATCCTCTGCTCCCGTCCTCTGGATAAACTCACTCTCCAGAGCCCCGCTTGTTCTGGAAGGTGCTTAGCTCTGGGCCCCTTCCCAGAAAGCCCTCCTGATCAGAGCCCGGAAGGCCCTTCCCCACCGCCCACTGTCCTGCCCTGACCCGTAGAGCCGGTCCCTCCCTGGAATGGGACTTAGGGGAGTTGCTGCTCCAGTTCTGGAGGCACAGAAAGGCCTCTGCCCTGCGTTTGCCGAGGATGGAGGGTACGTGGCGGCTGACTCCGCTCGGCCTTGCACCCAGCTCACTGGGCCTGGTCCCCACCATGGGATGCCCTGGTTTCCCTGCCCTGACCGTCTGCTGAGCCTCGAGTCTGCGTCTGAGGCCTGAGGGCCCCCTTGGCCCTAGCACCCGTGTGAAAGCTGCTGCCACTTGACTTTCTGGGCCATGCTGTTTCCTTGATTCTGGAAAGGAAAGTCCTATCCAAGGCCAAGAGTGGCCGCTCCCTGGACACAGGCATTGGATGTTTGCTGACAGCCACACACACAAAGCGCTGATGCATTCTTGGGTTAATGTCATCTTATTTTCTTAGATTTTGAAGCACTGATTGGTCGGGAGCATGGGCACTGGCCAAACACACCCAGGTGTCGGGCTGGACCCTGTGTATTCCACAGGGGATTCTGGAGCCCGGCTTGCTCTGCCCTGCTTGATGGTCTTGGTCTCACGGCCCCCACAGGCCCTCCCGGAAGCAGGCAGGGCAGGGCCCGAGGTGGGGACTCTGCCGGCACCTGCTGTGTGCTGGGCTGGACATGAGCCCCACATGTGGGCGTCCACAGCTCAGCCTGAGCTCGGGATGCTGGGAGAGGTAGGTTCTCAGCTATGGGGCCAGGTATCCCCACTATGCAGCCAGCCTGCTCCACCCAGGAATGCAGACAGGTGCCGCCCCCTTGGCCCCTTCCTGAGCCCAGGTTGCCCAGAGAACACGGAGTTAGGTTTGCTGAGATCTCTCTGACATCCCAGGACTCTGGCTCCTTGGGACGGGGCAGGGGCAGGTCTGGGGAGAGGTGACCTGGGAGCTCTCACTGCAGGCCTGCCTGAGCGGGCTGGGTGAGTTCCACCCAGGGCGGCCCTGCGCTTACCTGGGTCTGGCCCAGCAGGCGCAGCCGGTTCCTCCCGCGTGCTGGCCCCTGCCATTATTCAGTCCACTGCCTGGTGTTTACAGCGCACCCACGAGGGTGCAAGGGTGAAGCAAACAGGTGCCCTGCCTTGTGCCATGCATAGGCTGCGGCCCAGCCCCTGGGCCTCCTGCTGGCCCCTCACAGCCTAGCCCACCGCACCCCACACCTCATGGGAGGCCCTCCAGAGGGGTGGCGCATTCCCCTCTCCTCATCCCCTGGCCTTGCACAGTGGCCCCAGCATCAAGTGCTTCCCCGGCTTAGCTCGACAGCCTCTTGTGAGGCTCAGCCCTGCTGCGGTGGGAGTGGTAGTCATGTGGGGTGGAGTTGCACTGGGTGTCCGTGCACTTAGCGCCTGTATTGATCTGTCCTTAAGGGCCTGTGGGCCACGTTCAGTGTGGGGCTGGCCCTCATACCCAAGAGTGGAGCGGGTGGATTGTTGCCTGTGGCTCTCCAGAGTGGCTGGGCCGGTCACACTTCCTTCCCAGGGCCTGAGTGCCCACGTCTGTTTCGTTTGAGGCCTGGCTGTTTTCTCAACACCAACAATCCATTCGACTCGCTTGCCTCCCATCTGGGCCTCCTGCATGTTAGTCCAGCCCTGCTGCCAGCTCTCTGGCTGGCACAGACCCCACAGAAGGGCACAGGCACAAAGGGCTGCCCACCCCAGACCGGTCCCAAGTCCAGGTTTCTGCCTGTGCTTTTGACAGGGCAGCTGTAGGTTGGGGTTCCCACTCCCCCTCTTTGGGTTGGTCATTTGCTAGAGTGGCCCACAGAACTCAGGAAGGCTTTTTATTCGTGTCCTCTAGCTTAGTATGAGGACAACTCAGGAGCAACACGTGGAAGGGATTCAGGGAGCGGGGTATGGGACAAGGGCTTGGGCTTCCCACATCTTGCCCAAGAATCTTTATAGAGCTTAACCTCTAGCACCCACCCTTTCCTGGAGGCCAGTGTGGGAACGAAAGGTCCAGTGCCCAGTCTTTCTGTGCCCAGTGACCAGCCCCATCCATCCAGTTTCCCGAGCCGCATAATCAGCTGTGGTCCACAGGGCTCCTTATGAAGGTGAGTGACACACTTGTCACTCAGGAAACTCTCGGGGTTCTAGAAGCTCTGTGCCGGGAACTGGGAACAAAACCAAACACATCCCTCATTAAACTATAAGGAGGTTATGTTTTATTTTTATATACCTTCTCACTTAGAAGACAGTTACGAAAGTAGGCCGAGAACCCCTGTGTCCCCATTGGAAGATGTGTTCACCACATTTGCTTTATTGTTGTCCCCATGCAGCCCTCCGTTGTTTCTTCTCTCCATCCATCCATCCATCCATCCTCCATCTACCCCTCCACCCTCCAACATCCATTTATCCATCCATCCATCATATTCATCTATCCGTCATCCATCCATCCTTTATCCATCCATCCACTCATCCATTTTTCCATCCATCTGTCCATCCATCCATTCATCATCCACCCATCTGCCCATCCTGCATGCATCCATTCATCCATCCACCCACCCATGCACCCATCCATCTAGCCTTCATTCATCCATCCTCCATCTATCCATTCATGCAACTACCTGTCCATTTATCCATCCATCCAGCATCCATTCTTATCTGTCTGTTTTCTGTCTGTCTGTCTTTCTTCTATCATCTATCATCCATCTGTTTTAACACATACATATTTGCATATAGTTTTTCATAACCAGTGCGAGTAGGCAGAGCCATTGTATCCCTTTGCCCCATTTCTTCATTGTCTTCCCTGTGGACCAGAACATTCTGCCCTGCAATCACAGTGTGTTTATCAAAACCAGTAATTGTAGTGTTGACATGATACTGTCACCTACCCCGCTTCTGTGTCCAGGCTTTCCCAGGTGCCAGCACTGCCCAGGTGTGGCTCTAACCCAGTCCCACAATATGCTCAAGTTGCCTCAGTCACCTGGAGCCCTGGGCAGCCGCACTGTCTGTGCTGTCACCCTGTCTTTAGAGCGTCCCTTAGTTTGGGCTGCCCTGGAGCTTCCACGATTGCTCCTAGCCGTGTGCTGCTACGGGAGTCTTCGAGCTCCTGTTCTTCTTGGTGCATCCTGCTGGGTGGACTTGATGCTGCTTTGACCTGGTGTGGGTCACTTTTGGTCACTTGGTTAAGACCGTTTCCTCCTTTCAAAGTTATTGTCTCCCTTGTAATTAGTAAGTAACACTGGCGAAGTTACTTTGAGACCGTGTAAGTACCCTGTTCACTATTCTCTAACCCCATCTTCCTTTCGCCTTTATTAATTTCCATTTTCCTACGAAAAAACCTGTTTCCTCCCTTCTCTCTCTTCTTCCCTTCCTTCCTCTTTCCCTTTCTTTCTTAAAAAACTCATGAATTTTTTTGTTCTTAAAACTTATTTGTTATTAATTGTATTTAATAGCTTAGATCCCCTGCCATTATTAACTGCTTTCAGGTGCTGAATTGTCCTGGCTTTGATCTGTGGGACCCTTGTCCCCACCAGTCCTTGAGTCCTGCTATGCTTTCTGCTACTTCCAGCAGAGCCTCGCCCTGGGCCAAGATCATCGGTGCTTTTCCGAGCTAGTCCTGGTCCATTGTGTTCTCTAAGAACCCTGGTTTTAGGGGCCCGAATCCGGACACCAGGTGTGCTCACAGCTCTGTTGCCATCACCTCCTGACCCTCACTGGGGGTGGCCATGAAACCTGCACCCCTTATTGATGAGGGTAAACGAGGAATGCGGGAAAAGGATGTGTGTGTGCAGGAATATAAAAGCATATGCTCATAGATATAGACAAGTTCACACGTATATGCGCATGTGTGCGTGTAACATATCCATCCACTCACTCATCCATACACTGGTCCATCAACCCATCCACTACCTGAGTCCTTCCCAGGGCGGGCCAGCTCGCTGGCATTGGAGGCAGTGGGGTGTGGCCACTTCCTGGGTGACCACTGTGGTGAGGTCAGGCCCCCATTCCTCCTGGGATCCCCATCTCCTGCTGCTAGCACCCCACTTGGGATCCCGGTGTCAGAGATCAGCTTGAGGTTTAGGTTTCCACACCAGGCACCTCGTTTTCCGACAATAACAGAGTGAAGAGGCTAAAGCCCACAGCCCAGTCCTGGCCCGCGCCCTGGTGGGAGCCCCTGGGACTTGTCCAGTGAACTGCAGGATGACGGGAAACCAACCACAGACCGGGCCTGAAACAACGGAAATGTGTTCTCTTGCAGTCCTGGAGGCCAGAGGTCCAAGCTCCAGTGTTGCAGGCCGTCCTCTTCCTACAGGCTCTGGGCAGGACCTTCCTGCCTCCTCCAGCTCCTCCTGGGGGCTGGAAGTCCACCCTGCCTTGGCTTGCAGCTGGCCACCTTGTCTGTCTCTATGCCTCCGTATCTCTTTGTGTCTGCGTGCACCTCTGCTTTCTTTTAATGACAGTCACTGGATTCAGGGCCCACACTGATTGAACATATAATCTCATCTTAATTAATTACTTCCACAAAGATCCTAGTGGCAAATAAACTCCCAGTCACAGGCACCAGCATTAGGACTTCAGCATGCAAGGAATGATCATAATAGATGGTCTTTAAATCAAGCAATGTATTGCAATAAAAGACTAAAAGACACATTACCACGAATCACCCTCCATTCGCTTCATTTTGAGCACACTCATCCCTTTGTTCTTGGCACTTTCTGAAGCAGCTCTGGAGTCCTCTTTCATCAGCGTCTTCACGAGGTGTGACTAAAAATAGTGAAAGCCACTGCCATGTGCTGTCCAAGGCAAAGGCAGCTCATAAGACATTGTAGTGCGTCCTCGTCCACCTGTTCACCGGATCTGCCACTGTGTGACTTCTGGCTCTTCCTCAAAGTCAAAATGACCACGAAAGGGAAATATTTTCAATTGATTCATGACATCAAGGCAGCCAGGACAATGCAGCTAAAGACACTCAGGAAAGAGGACTCCAGAGCTGCTGCAGAAAGCAGCAAGAATGATGGGATGAGTGGGTTCAAAGCATGTGTGTGGGGGAGTATTTTTAGGGGGTTG